CTACTAGCTGTCAAATATAAAAGTGATCCAATGATACCTCTATATTTTGAATTGTCAACAGCTATCCCTTTCTCATCCAAGTCAAGATTGCATGAGTTTGATATTGGTGTTGCAGCCTCCTTACACCCTTCCATACCAAACTTCTTCAACAGTTCATTGCAATACTTGCTTTGAGTTATAAAGATTCCATCACTCATTTGTTTGATTTGCAACCCCAATTCACCTTCCCTTCTTCTAATGCCATTGCTCTGCTGCTGAGAAAAGCTCTTGCTCTCTAAACTGAGACTCTCTCCTCTTAAACTGAGGAATTCTGAGAAAAGCTCTCACTCTCTAAACTGAAGATTATTCTTTTCTGTTGTGGAAGATCAGATAAAACTGCAACCACAGAGCATACTAAGAATACTCTCCTCTCACTCTCTAAACTGAAGATTATTCTTTTCTGTTGTGGAAGATCAGATAAAACTGCAACCACAGAGCATACTAAGAATACTCTCCCGAACCTAGAGCTCTGATACCAGTTGTTAGGCAACTGGCATTAAAAGAGAGAATAAAAGGATAGAAGAGAGAAATAAACAATACTAAGAGTATTTGTTTTTGGTGTGTCTTAAACCTTACAAGGTGCCTCTATATATATAGCATAAGGAAGAGGCAAGCATTACAAACTAAGTGATGTGGGACTTAATAAGTAAGTTAAACTAAACAATGTGGGACTACTTCAATTTTAGAACTTAGACTACACACTTAACACTGTGTTGAGTCCATTGTTTTGGATGATGAATTTGAATGCATCATCCATAAGACCACCTTCACAACCTTGGTCCACACCCTTTGTGTCACAATCAACAAGTTCTTGTTCTGACAAAGAGATCAATTTTCCAGTACTCAGTTTATGAATTCCTTCCGTTGCTGCAACAGCAGAAAATGCCCAGCAACATCCTGCAAGACAAATTATTAGTTAGATAATAGTCATTCAATTTAATTTGAATTTTTTAAAAAGTCATCAATCACTAACCACATTGGCCTTGGTCCTTGATGGGTGTCACTGCTCCTTTTTGTCTCCAATCTATTGAGGATGGTACTGTAGTTACATTTTCATACTTAAAAGTTGTAGTCCTTGTGATTGAGGAACACACGTGGCCCTTGAATCTATTTCTTGATGCTATGAACTCCTCATTGGTGAGATCTGAAAACTGATTAATGCCTAGCTTGTAGGGTTTATTGTTAGCATTGTTGAAGGCTTCAATGTAATTCACATTGTCCTTGAATATCCTGAAACGTTTTTCCCTTTCCTGAGGGTCCTTATACACTTTTCCATAACGAAGCATCCATTGCTCATGTCTCTCATACATGGAGGCATCTTGGAGAGTGCGAGATGAGACTTGAAGAGCCCAGAATGCCATGCACAAAAGCATTGCCAATGAAATATGAAACAAATGATTTTTGGATACCATGGTGGCTGGTAGTGTAGTGTGACAATTATGGGAAGAACTGCTTCAGGTTGGTTAATGAAGTGTGAGAAAGATGTGTTGTGGTGGTACCAAGATTATTTGTGGCATTTATAGGCAAGTTAACTTTGAATCGTAAATTAATGTTTTTGTTTTCAGCTAAAATCTGGAAGCACCTTTGTCTAAATGTACGAATGAGAGAATGTTTTGAATAGGAGTCTTGTATACAGGTGTAGTAATCCCGAGTCCCGACAAATTATTTGTCAAGGTTAACGTAGTCTTGGAGGAACTAGCACATAGTGACAGAGTAGTTTTCAAAGGGATTCCATCTAAATAATTATAAAAATAGAGGTTTGAAAAAAAAATTAATTTCTTGTACATGCATATCGTTAACAACCAAATAATAAAGTTACATTCTTCCGACAGTTATTATTGATGATTAAATGGTAATTAAGACATATTGATTATAATTTAATGGCTTAATTGCACTTTTGGTCTCCGGTGTGAGTTGTTTGTCCCATGAAGCAATTCAAGCCCCGGTTTCTTGCCGTTGGAAAACTCTGACGTGGCAACATGAATTGCTTGAAGAAGAGAGAGTTGCTTCCTCAAGCAACCGTTCCTTACCAGATTTCAAACATATCTTATTGAACATATTTGGGAATGTTTCGGAAATAATAATGATGAAAATTAATTTTGTATAATATTTATATATTTACTATTGTTTTATTTTATTTTTAATATTTACTTATTGTATATTTTTTCTCGTAATTTATTTTCTTTCATTGTAGTGCAATTATCCTCTTTTTTTTTAATTTAAATTTGGTTCATAAATGATTAGAAAAAAAATTCTAAAAGTTAAATTTCTTAAAGTTTCTTAACATTGAAGTAAATTTGTGTTTGAGTTGCTTAATGCTGACATGACACACTAAGGACCACTTTTTTCATTTTTCAATGCATGAAGCAACTCAAATGAGGTGCTTTCGGGAGCTCGCGCGGACCAACCCTCTTGCTCTCAGCAAAATGTCGGTGGCGCAGTGCAAGCCAAGGTAAGCCAGGAAACAGGGTAAGCTCCCCTACGGGGGTTAATCAACACAATTGCAAGAGGCTTTGTAGGGGAGGATCCAGCAGCTCGGCCCGAAAAAGACACCTGCGCAGTATCAACAACGTCCACTCCACTACCTCGGCCTCGCACCAAAGCTCACTGCCAATCACCTTCATCGACGACGACTACACTGGCGTCTGCCCCAACCAGGACGATCCAATGGTCATCGCCGTGGAGGTCGCCAATTGGGAGGTCCACAAGACGTTGACTGACCTAGGAAGCTCGGCTGACGATCCTTTTATTCTCTCTTTTAATGCCAGTTGCCTAACAATATATTCATTGTTACAAACATTTAGGGCCAGCAAAAATCATTCACATCCCGAAGCATTCAGAATTTAAAATCCTCCACTTTCAAGTCCCAAGATATACTATACAACAATGGGTTTTCATTTGCTAGGTATCCGAAGGGCATCATTTGTTGCAAACCATGCATCTTCAAAAGTGGTTGACACACCAAAGGGGTATGTTGCAGTGTATGTTGGAGAGAGAATGAAGCGGTTTGTGATTCCCATATCATACTTGAACCAACCTTCATTCCAAGACTTGTTGAGTCAAGCTGAGGAAGAGTTTGGATATGATCATCCCACGGGTGGTCTTACAATTCCTTGCAGCGAAGATTTCTTCCAACATATAACTTGTAGATTGAATAGGCTATAATTAAATCTCAAACTCTACAGGAGACTGACCACAGATTTGTATAGAGCCAACCTTAATTTTAACTTGTAAAAGTCATCCTTTCCCGAGAAATAGAGTGGGAAGATGATTAGAATGAACAAATCATAGAGCTTGTCCTTATTTTGTGCTATAACAATGAATTCAATTACTCAGGTAGCTCTTCTGTGCTTTCTTTTATTTTTTTTCAAACTTCACTTCTCCCTTTATGAGCAAGGTTGCTTGCAGTAAGCAAAAACTGGCATAGTTGTTCCAGAAAAAAGAACAAATTTATGATTCCTAACAACATAGAACTAAGGTAATTTTCCTAGGACCAAAGAGAAAGATAAATTTATTTTCGACAAAGTTAATATATATTTAATTAATATATATATATATATATATATA